TCATGTGCAACTACAGTATCTTTTTAGTGAAATTGTTTGAATCGTTGACAGGGTTTCAATAGTCAACACATGTAGCTATGGATCATATTTTGAACATGGACTTAAACATAATGAGCAGAGGTTTTATGGATCATATAATTATTTAATGACTGCAGAATTGAATGGAAATGTGTTTACAAAGTGTTTCTAATCAAACCTTAACCCAATTTGTGTCAAGTCATTGATGCAGATGTTCTCCAGGGGCTTCACTTGAGCTTTGTTTTGGTCAAATGTTAGAATTAGATTAATGCGCCATGTATGTATGCAGCACAAGTAAGCATTGAATTTGTATGATGTTAGTACACAATAAATAATATTTCATGTACAGCTTATTGTTCTCATCTATCAAAGGAACAATGCATTTCATAAATCATCTCTAATGGGCGGCAGTTCATTTGCACTTAGGGGCACATTCATCATGGAAACAAACATGCTTTACATTCACAACCTCTACATAGTCCACTGAGGGAGAATATTTTCCAAACCAAACTTTGCGGCAAAGAATTAAAGCACGCTCCGACAGTGATGGATGAGGACGGTAAATTCAGTCACTGAGTAACGTTGAAGCCTTTTATTACACGACAGTATAGAAGAGAGAGAGAGCATGCAAATTATCTCTGAAGGACTAACTGATGTTAATTGTGATGTATAATGGACCATCTGTGGATTTCATTAGCAGATGGCTTATGGCACATTGTATGATGAACCTCTATACAAAAGAGCCTTCAAGCTCTCTCTTTAAATAGACTCGAGGCGCTATGAAGGTCCAATATTAGCTCAAGTTGGGTACCACAATGTTTAACACAAAATCGGTCATTTGTGCACTGCCTGTAACTTGCAAAGGCCTTTAGCAACACACAAGGTCACATCTGGAGGCTTTACAGTCACCAGTTCATGCATATGGAGATGGCATGGAGTAGACAGAGCACAGCTTGAAGTTAAGGGTTACGATAAGGATTTAGAACATAACAGATGGTGTCATTGAGAGAGACTATTTAAAATCCTGTGGCAAAGTCAGAAAATACAACATGAAGATAATAATCAAGAATAGTACTTTCACTAGGCTTTCATTAAATGGAAGAGAATTGCTGTTGTGATTTATTTATCCCAAAATAGTAACCAAGAGTGTTTCGTAATAATGAGATTGGAAGCTGACCCCACCCGGCAAATTATAATATTTCTGAGGTTAATTGAGAGACATAGTCCCTCCAACATGTTCTGGGTCTTCCCCGGGGTCTCCTCCCGATTGGTCATGTACAGAAAACCTATTCTGATTGGCGTCCCGGAGGCATCTAAAACAGATGTTTGAGCCGCCTCATCCGGCTCAACAAGCTCCTCAACCTATGTCTAAGGGAGCACCCAGCCACTTTGTGACAGAAATGTTTTTGAGCGCTTGAATCTGCAATTTTAAGACCTTTATATTTGGAATTTTATAGAACTGAAAGTATGTGGCCTTAATGTGAGTAGGATTGTATCTTCACCAACAACAAGAAAAGCTTTCATTGGTGGATAATGTTCAGAAGATTAGATCTCCACAATTTTTTTTACACATTTTACAAAAAGTGCTTTACAATTGTGCAGAAACCTTACTTTTGAATTTCTCGACTTTCAGTTCACAGATAACACAAGTTGACAGCCAAAAAATGGTCAGGGGTTTCTCAACTGATTTAGACTAATGTTGGTGTTCTGAGTCCGAATATCACATGCATTCTGCTCTATCAGGTCAACCTTTTGAGATACAGCCAAAGTGTTACAGATTATGTACGTCTACGTTATTATGAATTCTGCTTATCAAATTTGATGGAGTAAATAAAAACTGAATGACTTTGGATACGTTGACTTTTATTTCTTGAGGAAAACGGAAAAAAACGTCAAGGGTTTCTCAGCTGATGATCTGCAGAAATTTGTTTTTTACGCAAAATCGATTAAAAAAAATATTTCTGTAGCAAAAAATCCTGACCTGATTGAGCAAAACCAAAGTCATTTTCGGAATCAGAGCATCAAAATTAGTCTAATTCAGCTGAAAACCCTGGACTATTTTCAAAACATATGTTTCTGTTACCCAGTGTGATAGCTGTCTTCTCCTTAAATACAAGTTAACAATTTAAACTAAAAATGAAAATGATCATGAAAGGTCACAGGGACACAAACCTGTACCAGGAAAGCATGTTGACTTTAAATGTAAATACTTTGATAGTTTATCATCTTAATGCATAATCCTACATAAAGCCACACTGCCTCACATGTCACTTATATTGAACCACATTTGTTTGGTTAATGAATTTTAATGGGCATTTTCTTTAAAGCTACACAACCATGCATATAATCATTAGCATTTTTAGTCCTTAGAGGCAATTTCTCATGGGTTTTCTTTTCCGTCTTTGAAAACCCTCGTTAACAACATAATCATTTATATCAGTGCTGCATTTAGACGCACACATGTCGGGTTCCTCTCAATTTGCTGAAGAGAAACAAAACAAACAACCCGATACAATGCAATGCCAGTGTTGTATTATTAGTATATCAGCGTCTAATGGGAGTATGCAGACTGCCTAAACAAGCGGTGACAGTTGCTGAGGCTGTCAACGCTGCACTGGGGTCACGTCAATTCTCGTGGCCGTCATAAACAAACCAACATATCTGAGTCAACTGGTGTGAAAAACATCATAATACACAAGGTTGCAGAGGCTGTCAGAGTTTGTCCCCATCTGTCGACTTAAGGATTTCATTTTAAGAATTTTAATATGCTCCCTGTGCACCAAAATAGCATTTGGCATAGAGGGGTAATTGTGTATGTCTCGCAAAATGTCCGTTCTATTTCTTGGTTTCTTGCTTGGAATGTATCTCAGTGTATGAAATAATCAGTATATATGAGATGAGTGAAACTTGAATGAATCGCCTTTCCGCAGATATGAAGTCTCTTGTCCTCCGTGCATGTGTGTTTACAAAGCACAGATGCATGTAAACTTTTGAGGTGTGAAAAAGTGAGGATGCTGGTGCCCAGGAAAGGGTCAAGCTTATATCATAAATGTATTTGAAGAGATATAGGCGATTCACTCGAGTTGATCAAGTTTGTTTGCCGAGATTAAATATGACGTTGTATGAATGTTGACCAATGCACTTATAATGATAAGATAAGATAAACCTTTATTCGTCTCGCAGTGGAGAAATATCAGTGTCATCGTTGCGCACATTACAGCAGAGACAGGAAATAAGAGCACTCAGATTGCACATATCAAATTGAGTCTAGTATTTAAGATAATAGACTATAAAATTAAGATAAAATAAATAAATAAAATAAAATAAGATAAACTCTGGGGCTATAATTGCACTTGGTTCGGAAGTATTTACAGATGTCTAAATTATACAATAGCCGCGGAGAATATGAATATGAGCAGAATAAACATCAGATATAATATCAACAGGTAAAGTGACTGATGAAAGGCAGAATTATCAGATATGTAATAATACAGTAGTACTGATAACAGCTAAAGTGACTAGTGACAAAGTTACTAGTGAATTATCAGTGACACTTGAACAGACTCAGCAGTTCCTGTTACATATTCTCGTTGTACCGTCTGACAGTAGCAGGAAGGAAAGACCTACGGAACCTCTCCTTCACAGAGCGAGGGTGAATTAGTCTGTCACTGAAGCTGCTCTCCAGAGCAGAGAGAGTGTCCTGCAGGGGGCGACAGTCATGGTCCAGCATAGATGTTAGTTTGCTCAGGACCCTCCTGTCCCCCACCTGCTGCACTGTGTCCAGGGAACAGCCCAGGACTAACGCCTATCTCCGCCGTTCTAACTAATGGGCCAAAAATTGGGCTTTCATCGAGTGATTTAAAAAAAAAAGTAAACTAAACTAACTTTGGGCCAAGAGCCAACTTTTGGACCATCCTGTAAAGGTGTTTTTGAGAGGTAAGAAGATGCTATATGTTAGCATTGGCTAATTCTTATTCCGGGTCCACCCCCATCGGCCCAGGGTGGTATTGCAGCATGTCAGCGCACGTCATTGTGGCCACTTTTGAGCCGGGACCCGCCCCCACTGGCTAACATGCTGGTCGTTGGTGACTCGTACCAGTGTCTGTTAGCAGAGTTTCCTGCCCTTACGGTTCCCACGTTTTCTGCTGCAGTAGCTGAGCGCAGGGTGGAGCATTATATCACTACCGCGGGTCCGTCGGTTTTCGCTCGTGCACGCTAGGGTTTAATCCCGGGAGACGGTATTCCCGGGAAATGTGATCAAAACTATTTCCCGAATCCCGGGAAATGATATGACGGGAAACGGGAAATGAAAGTTTTTTTTAAAATCCAGTGCGCTCCTATTGGAGCGCGCGTCTGTTGTTGTTGTCGGTAACGTTGCATTCATTAGCTTACGCACGCAGCAGCGGGAGTATCTATCTGCCGCCTGAGGAGTGAGGATGTCTACGGCCAGCTTTGTATGGCAGCATTTTACAAAACTTGATAATGAACACGCAAAGTGCATGTTGTGTGACCGGATTGTCAAGTGTTCTGGGGGGTCGACAAGTGGTTTGCGCAGACATTTAGATTCTCAGCATCGTAACGTTTGTGAAGAAAGCCCATCATCAAAACGTGTAAAAACGCTAGATGGCTACTTTAGCAAAGCTAGCAACAAGACGCTTGGTGAAATACTAGCGGGGATGGCAGCTTTTGATGGCTTTACTTTTAATAGTATGGCAAAAAGCGACTATCTCAGATCAGCACTTAAGAGAGATGGACATATTCTCCCCAAGAATCCCTCTGAAATCGCCCAACAGGTTAGGGGTTTTGCTAATGAAAAAAAACAACAACTGGCCGATATATTCCAAGACATGGTGAAGCGAGGGATGCGTTTTTCTTTGACCATCGATGAATATACATCTTCACAACGTAAAAGGTTTATGAGCATAAACGTGCATGGCGCGCACACATACTGGAATCTAGGTGTCGTTAACATTAATGGAACAATGCCAGCTGAGAAAATAAAAGAGTTGGTTGACTCTCATCTTCATAGATTCAAGCTTAACATGGAGCAAAATATTGTGTGCTGCACTACTGATGGAGCATCAGTGATGGTGAAGTTCGGCAGACTGGTGCTTCCTGAACTACAGCTGTGCTATGCGCATGCTGTTCACCTGGCTGTCACAGATGTGCTCTACCGGCGTGTTCACCGAGAAGAGCTGGCTGATGTCCCTGAGAGAGTGATGGAGACTGAAAGCGAGGAAGAGGAGGACAGTGGCCCCGAGTCTGATGAAGATTCTGCCGAGTGTGTGGATGGTGCCTATCGGTCAGTCAGGGTGAGAGAAGAAATGTTCATGAGCGTGGAGCGAGTCCGAAAAATTGCCAGGCATTTCCACAAGTCACCTGTCAGTAATGACAAGCTGAGAGAATGCACCAAACGAGATCATGGGAAAGAGTTAGTGCTCATTTTGAATTGCCGTACCCGCTGGAACAGCCTGGCTGATATGTTGGATCGCTACATTGCACTCCATAAAGCAGTGTCCAAGACCCTCATTGACATTAATCCTGCTTTAATAATTACCAACGAGCAGCTCGCACTTATAAAACAACTGAGCTCCTGCTTGAAACCGGTGAGGATGGGAGTCGAATCTCTGTGTAAGCGAGACACCACTCTCATTAAGGCAGATGGGATTTTTTTTTTCATGATTGATCAGCTGAGAAAGCAGGAGACTCGACTGAGCCAAGAGATGAGAGATGCAATTGAGAGCAGGTTCACCCAGCGAAGACAGAAGAACCTGTGTCTTTGTACAGGTAGGCCTTCTACGGAATGTAGCCTTAACTATTAATTGAATTGTAATTTTCAATATGCTCATTTTACAACATTAACATTAACACTATTTCTATCAGGTACCTTCTGGATCCTGGTGCTTTAGTCGCACAAGCACCAAGGCCCAATGAAATCTTTTCCATGCCATCAAGACAGATGCTGTTGAGGACCGCTAAGGGACTTGCGGAGCGTCTCTTTGTCACCCGCTGCCATGATGAGGAGAGAGAGCAACAGAGCGATGGTGCGTCTTCGGAGACATCATTGAGTGCGCAAGGGGAAGCCCTGAATCCGGCTGAAGAGGTCTCGAGTACTCAGAATGAAAGGAACCTAGCGTTAGATCTAGATTTAGCAAATTTTAAATTCATCAAAAGTAACTTAAACCAGGAATCTGCCATTTTATTTTTCAATTCGATGATTATGCCGCATCTTACCTACTGTGTTACCAGCTGGTCACAGGGATGCAAGACAGCCCTGAAGCCTATCCAGTCTGTCTACAAACAGGCGTTAAAAGTCCTGGATAGGAAACCTTTCCGGCATCACCACTGTAGCATCTTGGCCAAATATAAGATGCTCAGCTGGGAAAACCTGGTAAGATTTCAAGATGGTCTTCTGGTTTTTAAAATCTTAAATGGTCTGGCCCCACCCCCACTATCTATTTTTTTTAAGCAGAGCAGCAGAAACACCAGATCTGCTGCCTCTAATAATCTTCTCGTCCCACTGAGAAAAAGTTCCTTTGGCCAATCAGCTTTCTCAGTGCGCGCCGTTCAGTTTTGGAACACAATCCCAGTCCATATAAAAAATAGCACTACACACAGGACTTTTAAACATACGTTGAAAGCCTGGTTATTGGACAATCAAGATTGTAACCACTCATGATGCATCACTTGCTTTTATATGTTTTAATTACGTGTTTTAAACTGAAATGTTTTAACTAGTTACTCTATATTGTCATGTGATGTAATGTATTGTAATGTAATTGTAATTTTTTGCAGTGCACTTTGATGGCATTTTACACCTTGCCTAGGGACTACAGTTGGAAACTAGCTGTTAGCTAATACTGACACATTTACAGCAATGTTGATTAATGTGTAACGTCCCTATTCAAATAAACTATTAAATAAATAAATAAAAATCTGCAACAGGCCATTTCAATGACCACCAAGCCAGCCGCAGACGAAACGAAAGACGGGGATTTCATGAAAATTCTAACCAAAGAGTTTTCCCTCTTCGAAGCCACCCACAGGAGGCCACCCCACCTGCAACAATTATTTGAATCACTCAGCACTATTCAGGCTACATCTGTGGAGGCGGAGAGAGCATTCTCTATCTGTGGCCAATTTGTTACAAAAATCCGAAACCGCCTGAGCGCAGAGTCAGTGGATGCGCTCTGCTTCTTAAAAGCACATTTTCAGAAATTAAATAAAGAAGGGCAAGGTGATGAGAAATGAAATGCTTTCCAATGCAATGTTGATATTGCGGCAGAGTGTTTAGGCTTTTATTATTATTATTATCATTGTTTCCACTCAGTTTTAGCCTCTAGGCCTATGGCCCTGTCTTTTTGTTGTTGTTGTGCGCACTGCACAGTTGGACATTTCTATGGGTCGTTTTATTTATTTTATTTGTACTTTGTGATGTTTAAAAGATAATATGCCTGTCCTGCCTTAATAAAGGAACATTTTGTTAACTTAGAGTGATTATTCCCGTGTGCACTGTGCAGCCGTTAACAAATCTCAATAGCCACATCATGGATTTCGTTTATCAGAATGTTTTAGGTATCATTCCATGGTTTACTTTAGGAGATTTCGTCAGTTAATCTGTAATATATCGGTTTTATAAGGGACCGGGCATGCCACTTGGCATTTCATAGCGTGCTGCGGCAGAGCCTATCACGCACGCAGCAGAAATGATAATTGCAAACTTTATCGATGGGCATAAACTGTGTGTTCTTTTGGCCTAATAATGACACAAATAATATCAAAATGCCATTTTGCGATTTGGGAACGCATATTTGAGTGATATCATACATTACTTGGGCTGAAAACAACAACTTAAAAAACCCCCCGGATTTCCCGGGATTTCCCGGGAAAAGCGTCGTCTTCTCCCGGGATTGTATATATCTCATTTTCGGGAAAAATATTAAACCCTAGTGCACGCTGTTTAGATATTGCAAAATTGATCATTGCTAAAAAGGAGTTTGCTAACATGGAGAGGCTGAGAATTGTGTGCCGTTCCAACAGCCCGTGGGCTTCGCCTTTACACATGGTTCCCAAAGCAGACGGTGGTTGGCGCCCGTGTGGAGATTTCCGTTTGACCGGGCTAAAACTGCACTGCACTGTTAAGGAAGTACAGTGCGTTTGACAGGGAGCTCTTGGCCCTTTTTCTTGCCACACGCCACTTCACTGATCTCCTGGAAGGCCGGGAGTTTGCTGCTTGTGTTGATCACAAGCCCCTTACGTTTGCTATTGCCAAAACCTCTGAACGGTGGTCAGCGCGGCAACAAAGGCAGCTATCCGCTATTTCTGAATTTACCTGTGATATTCAACACGTTGCAGGAAAGAACAATGCAGTGGAGGACTGTCTCTCTCGGGCAAAGGTTTTCACTGTTCCTTTAGTCATTGACTATGCAGAGTTGGCTGCGGATCAGCTGGCGGATTCTGGGGTGCGAGCGCTGCTCACCACTCATTCTAGTTTGCTGGAGGATGTGGTTTTTCAGGATAGCGGGGCGACTCTTCTGTGTGACGTGTCTACGAACAGACCACGCCCTTGGTACCTGCTGCCTGGCACGCCCGCATTTTTGAGGCTGTCCACTCCCTGTCTCACCCCGGTGTTAAAGAGTCAGTGAAGTTGGTGGGTGCTAGGTTTGTGTGGCCCGGCCTCAGAAAGGACGTTAAGACTTGGGCCTCCACATGCGTGGCCTGCCAGAGGGCCAAGGTGCAGCGTCACGTTACAGCTCCCTTGGGTCCTTTTTCAATTCCCGAGAGACGTTTTGAACATGTCCATGTGGACCTGGTTGGACCTCTTCCCCCTTCCCGGGGGTTCACTCACCTCTTGACCATGGTGGACAGGGCCACGCGGTGGCCTGAGGTGGTGCCTCTGTCGTCTGCTACTCCAGCGGACGTGGCTCGGGCATTTATTTATTCCTGGGTGTCACGGTTTGGTGTTCCTCTGGACCTGAAGTCTGATATGGGCCCTCAGTTCACCTCGGAGCTGTGGACTTCAGTTGCTGGGAGCTTGGGGGTTAAACTTCACCAGCCCACGGCATGTCATCGGCAGACTAACGGGTTGTGCGAGAGGTTTCACCGGACTATGAAAGGTGCCCTCCGGGCGTCTCTTGTGGACAATAGCTGGGTGGACTGGTTGCCGTGGGTTTTGTTGGGTTTGCGCTTTGCCCCCAAGGAGGATCTGCGCTCCTCCTCTGCTGAGTTGGTTCTGGCACAGACGCTGAGGGTCCCGGGAGAGTTCCTCCATACCGCCCCTGGCCTAGTTCCGCCTTTTCCTGCCTTTTTCTCCAGCGGGAGCTTTCAGACGGGTTGTGGCGCACCACTGTATCCCTCACTCAGTCCTATGTCCCTAGGGACCTTATGTCGGCCAGATACGTTTTTGTACGGCATGACGCACACTGTTCCCCCTTGCAGGCACCTTACAATGGCCCATTACGGGTGCTGGAGACGGGGTACAAGTATTTTTTGTTTGAGACCGGGTCGCGGTGGACCGATTGAAGCCTGCTCATGTGCTCTGAGACGAGGATGTGGAGTTGGCCCGCCCTGCTCACCCGGGCCGCCCGCCTAATCCTGCCCCGGTGGTGGGGCCCCTGCCTGTCCCATGTTAGATTTTCTTAGTGTTTTCCTTTATGTTTTGTGGCTTGTTGGTGTACATTTGTGTGTTCTGTGTGGTGGCTGGGGAACTCACACACAAATGTATTATTGTGAAGGGGCTGGGGTTCCGGAGATAACTGATAAGAGTGGGAGTGTTGCCACCGGTGTGTTGATGAGTGTTGGAAATAAAGAACGGTGAAACTCAGCTCTTCGTCTCCCGTTACAATCAGGGGGTGCAAAATGGGTGGTGGGTTTTAATATGGTTTTATTTATATTTTACGCATTTGTTGTGTTTGTGTGTTTTTAATATTGATTTTAACTGGCACCACCTGAAGCACCCCGGCTCCCCACGTGAGCAATCAAGACACCTGCGCCTTGAGAATAAAAGACTGAGATGGGGAGGGGGAGGCAGACAGACAACGAGACACAGGAGCCAGACACGGGAGGGGAGAGCCCCGTGGTCTGGCGGCCCAGGCCGTGGGAACGTATTTTAGCCTGCGTTTTAGCCTCTGTTTTAGATTTTTAGTCCCTTTTTTAGTTTAGGTTTTTATTGCTTTTATGTACTTGTTTTTAATGTATTTTATAATAAATTGCTTTTAATTAGCTTTTAATCCAGTGGTCCTTTTTAAATCCGGGTCCGAAGAACCGGTTTTTACACATGTGACATTTTGGCGTTGTCTGGCAGGACCCGGTACCACTGTTTTTAAGTTGCGATTAGAGGCTAGGGCTCCGTGGAGGAAGGATGGGTGTGCTGTCGCTGAGGCCGTCAAGGGATCCGAGCTGAACTGCGCGCTGGCAGCCGGGTGGGCCACCCCAGATCCAGCACACAGAGAAGCACCACATCCGCGACCTGGAGAGAGTGCACCACGACGCATGATACAAGCAGGGGCAGACATGGAAGTCTGCCTGGCCTGTTAGTATTGGCATGTGGTGTAGTAGTGCTCGTGGAAGGCCTACAGCCCGAGGGTCGCGGATGCGTGGGTTTGGGCTGGCCTCTGGTGTGTTTGGTGCAGATGGGCCCGGCAGCAGCAGCAGTGGCGGCAGTGGCAGGAGTCTGAGGCCCCGGGAGAGACTCGGCGAAGGCCCCGGGAGAGACTCTGCGGAGGCCCTGGGAGAGACGCGGCGGAGGCCCCGGGAGTCACGGTGGAGGCAAACCCCTCCCCAGAGATTGAAAGGCGCAGGTGTTCTCTGTTAGCAGGAACTGCTAAGATTAAAGCAGGGGGGAGTGTCAGAGGGTGCAAAATGGGTGGTGGGTTTTAATATGGTTTTATTTACTTGTTTTTAATGTATTTTATAATAATTTGCTTTTAATTAGCTTTTAATCCAGTGGTCCTTTTTAAATCCGGGTCCGAAGAACCTGTTTTTACACATGTGACATTACTACTTCCACAAAATTATCAATTGTTGAAAAACAACAATGTGCTCCACATAGGGAACGACATTCACAAGTGTTTTGCAAAGAAAATAAAGACATGCCTAATGTTGAGGGATGAAATGAAGCCTCCAGAATTCTGATCATGGGACTAAAACAGTACTCACACTGAACACAAATGATTACAGAAATCATTACAGGTCATTAACAGGTCTGGTGATTGTTTATGTTGTCGGATCACTTTTCACACAAGTCTCTTTTGAGTTCAGAGGGAAATCCTCGTAACCATGAAAAGAAGGACTAAAGCTAGGCTCGTGTCATTCTAGTGAGAGAAAAGCATGCTACGTTATGTTGTATGCTCTATGCCAATGACCTGAGATGAACCTGTGTATAATTGATTAACTCAGGCACAGAGTCAACAGGGTCTCAACATGCAACAGTGTGTGTAACAGAAGCATGTCTCATCTCAGCCCACTCATACTCACACAACTCCTTCCCATTGTTTGCTGCCTGTGGATGCCTCTGACAGGACTGGACCCCTCTCCACTGTTCCCATGTGGTGGCAGAGATTTTGGGCTGTCTGAGTCAGACATGTGTTGATTACTAAAAAACTGTATTTTTTTTCTATCCATGAAAAGCCGCTACCAATCAATTCACGGTAATCTTTCTTTGTCTGTTGTTGGATATTTTAGCAAAGTCATTATTCATGTACATTTACTTCTAATAGATAAATTATTGGCCAAATGCACAGACATGCATCAAATATTCTTAATTTTTACAATTTCCTTCACATACAATAATGAACACACTGTGAGGATCTAGTTGTGAGGATCCTGTTTTGCAGGGCATGTGTGGCAGGGGGCACAGTTATTTTAGTTTATGTGTTCATTCACATGGACACAACCAAAGCAGTATGCACAATATACAAGTTTAATGCCAAGGGGAGACACAGACTTGTACAGAATTAAGTTTCAAGTACATTTTCTATCAATACAGAGTTTTCATATGTTAAGATGAAAGGTAACAAAATGTAACAACACTGAAACAAGCAAAGTCTCAATTTGATAGTGTCGACCATGAGATCCTCTTATAGAGAGTAGAGGACTGGGTTGGTGTCGCTGGCAACGTCCAAAGTTGGTTAAAGTATTGGTTAAAGTAGACAGGGCACAGGGGTCGATCCTGGGACCTCTTTTGTTCGATCACTACATGCTGCCGTTTGGTTAGTTAAAACACAGCTAAACACAGACAAAACTGAGACGATCATTGGTCTCTCCAAACAAGCAGTAAAACAGCTGCAGTGTACTCAAAACGCAGCAGCTCGAGTCCCGATAAGAACCAGGAATAGAAGTTTGATCATATTAGTACTGTTCTTAGGTCTCAGAGTACTATTAATTCAAGAAGACTTTGGTCCCCTTCAGCTCCCTGATTGAAGAAAAGAACAGTTGTGAATCCTTGTGGTGTAGTAAACTAACCAGTATAATAAGGCCTTTTCAAAATAACCCAATGTGTAGACACAATAAAATACAATGTATTCTAGTATTGCCCTAATTCACAACAACAGTCATCTCAGAGGACTAAACAAAACAGTTGAAATCACCAACACTGATCAGCAAATCAACAGTTTAGGCAAAAAAAATAGAACACATATGAATTGGTCCATAGGGAGAGACCAGTGACCATGAATGTTGATAAATGTCCATACATGTTGTAGAATTGTAGACACTTAATAGGTGTCCAATCCGTTTTTTTGGGAAAGCAAGTCATCTCATTTCTCACTTTTTCATCTGCAAGGCCATAGATGAAAATGTTCTTTTGTGTCATAGTGCTGACCCGAACCCAAACTTAGACAAGATAGACAGAGCATAGGCCAAGAATCAATGATGCATGGAATACCAGACTGGTTCAGTCTGGTTTTTCTCACATTATTGCAGAAGCTGATGGAAGAGTAATTTTAACTAATGTCCTTTTGGGGTAACCAGCTCGACTTGCGCTCAATTCCAGCACTTGTCATGGGCACGGAGGTGACTGTTAGATGTGTTTGTCTTGTTCCTGGAAACCATCGGCAGATGTGACATGATATTTCTAAGAATTTCTTAGGGTCTGTATTTACAAGCCCTCAGACCTGACTTGAAATTCCATCGCACAGAAACCCGTAATGTTTCCTCTATTTTCAACGCTGGCCATGAGCCTCAATTCTGTGTTGATTTTGTCTCTTCTGTTTAGCACCATCTGTATGATCTCATGGCTTGACTTCCTGCACATGACAAATTACATTTTTTAGTCTTTTTGTAGTCACAAAATTGATAATGATTTGTACAAAACATTAGAAGTTCTCTTGTTGCTGTCCTCCCTTTGTTGTACTACAGTACCATTTGGAGAGTGCTTCCATAGTAACACACTTATCCTTCCTCGCGGAAGTCTTCTCACTTTGTTTGGGTGTTGACTCCCATTCAATTAAATATGCAAAATGGAGCTCTGGTGTTCCGGTGCATGGTAAATCCTTCCTCTAGAAACCCGCCCGCGCATCGCTCAGTGCAGAACATGACATGCTCCTCTTCTCTGTGAATGTAAATGTGTGGGAGCGCATTGTCACTCACAGCTGCAGCGACTGTGATTTTGTGCATTCTGAGGCCGAACCGACGCCTACGTGAGTCCACACCATACAGGTGTGAGGCTGCACACAGGAGGGATGTGACAGCTCCCAACTCATAGCAACTTCTTTTAAAGTAGACTTTTCAAAAATCATTAATAAATTAATAACTAAGACAGGTCTTCTTGTCACAGTTATGCCTATACAGACTTTAAAATGCATTTTTAAAAGTTGGATATAAAAGATATCTACAACTTATATAATGGTAGTGGGGAAACAACATTTTATGATTGCAGAGGTAAATAAAAAACATGCTGACCACCAGCAACTGGCTGTTTTTAGTGAGCGCGTTTACAAAGCACTTTCAAAATCAACTTCAAATTAATATGAAGATTTGATTTATGAAAAACGTGTCCATTCTTATGTGGTTGAGCTGCATCTAAGCCATACTGTATATAAGATGTAAGTGCGTCCATGAGAATGAGACAACGGGCCATGATGCATTTGAGTGCACAGGGAAAAGCCAGGCTTGTAAGAAATGTACAGTACAGGTGTTTGGACAGGTACGTATATGGTACTCACTTCTGCTGTTTGCAGTCTTCTCCAATCTTCTTCTCTCTCTCTAAGTTCCACAAATAAGGTTAGAAATCTAAGGGCAATAATAAATTCAGATCTTAATTTCCATTATTACATTTAAAGAAGCTATACCCAATTTTTTTATTTTTATGAGTTCATAAAAATCCTTATTACTACATACAAGTTGTATTATAAGCCGTAATTTAATTGAAAACTTGAGCTCATTGATTCAGCTTGTGTACGAATTCAGGCCGTAAAAAGTGCTGAGTAGAGACTTAGCGTGACGCTTTCTCTCCTCCAATCACAGAACCAGCCTGCGTCCTCTAGCGTCTACAGCGCTGCTAAACGAGCAGAATGGAGGCAGAAAGTGCCTATATAACTCCTCTTGCTGTAACTGCAGACACAGCAAAACAGCCCGAACGATGCAACAGTGAGGAAGAGAAGTGAAAAAATTATTAAAGAAGAAATCAAGCCCGGGTGAACATAGCTAGCTTATATTGTATCCTCTGGAGAGACTTACAGTCTATGGGAGAGACCTGCGTGAGCGGGACTGCCTCGGACTGCATTTGGACGCGAAACTAGCGGTAATCTTTCAGTTATATATTGGTTAGCAGTGCGTTGCTTTTGTACGATTTCATCAGTGATTGTTGTACAGCTTAATTTGCGCTCATGCTAATGTTTGCATATGTATCAGATCGCAAATAAAACTAGATGGCTCCGTGGGAGGAGAGCGTAGGGGAAATGAGAAGCCCGTGAGCGCATTAGGGGGCAGTGCTAAACATTCAAACCTTGCAGAAACGGGTATAGATAGATAGATAGATACTTTATTGATCCTTGTAGGATAAATTCAGGTCCAGTAGCAGCAAAAATAAAAAAATAAAATTGATCATTCTAAAAAGATAACAATAGTAATAATCAGCAAAACAGCCCTTCAGGTCACAGCAGCAGAGATGGAGTAGCCTCCGGGTGGAGTAGGATGGGTCAGAGCAGCAGAGGTGGAGCAGCCACTGGGTGGAGCAGGAGGGGTCGCAGCAGCACAGATGGAGTTGCCTCTGGGTGGAGCAGGAAGAGTCAGAGCAGCACAGATGGAGTAGCCGTTACGCAAAGAAAGCCGGCACGGAGTAAGCGTTAGCATTGGCTAACTCTTACTCCGGGTCCACTCCCATCGGCCCGGGGTGGTATTGCAAGCATGTCAGCGCACGTCATTTTGGCCACTTTTGAGCCGGGACCCGCCCACACTGGCTCAGACACAGCAGACTGATAGACAGGCGCTCCTCTGCGGGAGCGTGGTGAGCCCCAGACGGGAGCGAGGGGAACGAGGCGAGCTCCAGGAAGGGGCGAGGCGGGGTGCGGGTACTCAAACTGGGCGAGTGACATGCGGAAGTACAGCTGAAAGCAAAACTCATCCGTACGCAGCTCCTGTAGTAAATGGTGAAACTCAGCAAACACTGCAGCCTCTCAAGTCTGTGGTGAACCCAGAATACGTTTTGTAGAAGCCCTACGACATGGTTGTTTGGCTTTATATAACAACTAAAGGCTCGCTGCTCTCGGGAAATCCACCGTTGTCTTGACTACCGGCAACAGAGAAGCTCCTCCCACCGGCGTCAGGCGCTTCACTTGCGTCAAGCTTCAAGCACCAAAATGACAAAAAGAATAACCCGGCATCAGTTGACGCGCGTCAAAAGCTTTTTGAAGCTTTTGGTCTGAAAGCACCTTTATGCTTTGTGAAGGCGCTCACATTAATCAGTGACTTTCCTATTACCCCCCTACTTCCTCTTTATGTGTATTATTGTGAACGCATACATGATAATGCAAAGGAAGGTTTCTCACCCATCATCTGTACTTCTTAGCAAGTTTTCCCGACGTGAATGAATTCTCGGACCGCGCGTTGGAGATTTATAACCTATGGGTGTGGTTAGCCACACCCTAATCCTGATACTAACTCATAAACAATCTAAGGTCTGATGTGGAAGGGAGCAGATCCCTTCAAGGCCTCCAACCACACGGTGGATGACACAGAGGTTAAAATTCTGGCTCGGGAGAAGAATTGGTTTGAGAGAGGGGTGAAAGAAGCCATTTTTGTGAGGAAACAAAAACCTTCTCTTAACAGAGGAGGAGGGTTAAGATTTGTTTTGCCTCGCATCTATGACGACATCCTAAAAACAACGCCCTAACTTGGGACAAGGTCAGTGACATGCTAATGAGTTAGGAGGGGTGAGACCTGCACTCCACTTGAGCATCCCAGCAGACAATAGGTCAGTGACATGCTAATGAGTTAGGAGGGGTGAGACCTGCACTCCACTTGATGATCCCAGCAGACAATAGGTCTGTGACATGCTAAGGAGTTAGGGTCGTTAGCCTCAGCAGGGTCGTTAGACCTGCTCCCTTCTACATCAAACAGACCTTAGATTGTTTATGAGTTAGTATCAGGATTAGGGTGTGGCTAACCACACCCATAGGTTATAAATCTCCAACGCGCGGTCTGAGAATTCATTCCCTGAAGAAGTCCTTTGGTTTGAGGACGAAACGTCGGGAAAACTTGCTAAGAAGTACAGATGATGGGTGAGAAACCTTCCTTTGCTTTGACTAATCCCTGTACGACTGAGGGCTTACACAAACATACATGATAATGTTTTGTCTGCTGAATTGATTTTACAAAAATTGAATAAGACATGCATACTAAATGTAATTCTAAACATAAATATTACTATTGCATCAAGTGCACTAATTACACTTGATGAATTTACATAAGCCTATATTATGATTTAAGAATGTGCTATGAAATGGGTTTTATTCAGCAAGGACAACTGAGCAGAGTTCAACCTTCTCATGACAGAAGGTATCTTCAGTGGCCCACTACGCAGCTAAAAATGAAAACTAATAACTATTTTGGATTGTTTACCCTGGTGAACTTTGTAGAAAGCAGGATTTTTTTTTAAAAAGGAAAACAATATTCCGTCCCCGGAAATACCGGGGATGCTTCACAGTGTGCGACCCGCGTAGCTACCTCGAGCAGAGAGTGTTTGACATTTTTTATTAGAGTGATTGGTGTGTCACCTTCTCAGTTTCACAGCAATGTGGTTACTCAATCTGGATTACCTGCTCATCCTATGTGGATTGTTTTTCGTGCTTTGTACAAGCTACAGAACGATAGAGCAGAGTGTGCGCGGGGCTGGAGCCCTTCCACGACTCACCTTTACGCGGAGTCCCTCCTACAGCTCCGGTTCTCTGAGCGGGCCGCGGTTCCACCGCCAGACATCCCACCGGAGCTTCGCAATACGGCGGCTCGACACGTACGCCGCAAAAGGGGAAGACGAGGAGGTGTCCACCGGAGATTGAAGCGCTTGTGCCTCCAGGACCGCCGACGGATGCCCGCGCTCCCATCCATCCTGCTTGGGAACGCGCAATCTCTCCGTAACAAGCTGGACGAGCTGGAAGCTTGGGCCACGGTGAGACAGGAGATCACCAATGCCTGTCTTCTCGTCTTTACGGAGTCTTGGCTTACGGACACCGATCGAGATGAGGATCTCTCGGTGAGGGGCTTTGGAGCTCCATACAGACTGGACCGGGACCAGGAAATCACCGGGAAGTCGCGGGGAGGAGGAGTGTGCCTCTACGTGAACGAAAGGTACTGTAAAACCGTCGTTGTGCGGGAGAAGATCTGCACTCCTCATGTTGAACTGTTGTCGCTGTCTCTTCGGCCCTTTTATTTGCCGCGTGAGTTCCAACAGCTGTTTTTTACAGTTGTATATGTGCACCCCCGCGCTGACGCCACCGCTGCAGCTCAGCTGATTGGTGACGTAACTCACAGACTTGAGACAATTTGCCCCGACGCCCCCAAATTTATCCTTGGAGATTTTAATCACTGTCGCCTTGGTGATTCATTAAAAACTTATGAACAGTACGTGACTTGCAGCACTACCCAGAGGAATACAACTCTAGACTTGTGCTACGGTACTGTGAGCGGTGCATACAAGTCACTGCCTCATCCTCCTCTCGGTTCTTCCTATCATAACTGTGTGTATCTGATGCCACAGTACGTCCCTGCGTTCAGGCGGCTGCCACGAGAGGAAAAACTTGTTAAATGCTGGTCAGAGGACAGCATTTCTACTCTACAGGCTTCGTTTGAATGTACAGACTGGGACTGCTTTTATAATGCTTGTGGGGATGATATCAATGTATTGTGTGATACAATCTCTGCATATGTAACTTTCTGTGTTGATTCAGTTGTCCCTTCAAAGAAGGTAGTTATTTATCCGAATAACAAACCTTGGGTGACTAAAGATCTGAAATCAACTATAAATAGAAAGAAAATGGCCTATTGTATTGGTGACCAGATGGAGAAAAAATATGCTTCACAGGAAGTAAAAACAGAAATAAGGAAAGCCCGGTTAAGCTACAGAGACAAAGTGGAAGCTCAGTACAGTAGTGGGGACATAAGAGCAGCCTGGAGAGGGATTAAGAACATGGCCTCCATTGGTCATCAGAAGGAAGACAGAAAACCTGTCATTGTTAAGAGTGTGTCTGATACCGACTTGCCCAGTGCTTTTAATTCATTTTTTACTCGTTTTGAAAGAAATGATGTTTCAGATGATATTAATAATTGCAGGAGATCAATTAAGCCTTTGAATGAAATTGAGGTTTCACAAAACACGGTCGAGGCTCTTTTTAAAAAAACAAAGATCAGGAAAGCCAAAGTCCCAGATGCAATTTGTGGTCGCACTTTGCACCACTGTGCCTCTCAGCTCAGCGGTGTGTTTTGTTTTTTATTCCAAAAATGTATTGACCTTTGTCAGATTCCATCGCTGTGGAAAACGTCAACAGTGATACCTCTTCCCAAATCCAAGAACTCAAAGGATTTGAGTGATTTCAGACCAGTTGCTTTAACCTCACTGGTTATGAAAAGCCTTGAGCACATTTTAAAGACTCACATTCTCTCCTTAACAGAAGGACAACTGGATCCACTGCAATTTGCGTATCAACCCAAGAAAGGAGTTGATGATGCAAAATTGTTCCTATTGAATGCCATTTTTAAACACCTGGAGAATGCAGGGGCCCATGGTAGACTTTTATTCGCAGACTTTTCATCGGCTTTTAACAAAATGCAGCCTCATATTCTGATACAGAGATTAGCTGCTGATTTTAATCTCCCAGATCAACTTCTTTTACTGATATTAAACTTTCTTACTGATCGTGTTCAGCAAGTTTTAGTGAATGGGAAAATGTCTGCTCCCACAATCTCCAACATTGGTTCGCCCCAAGGATGTGTACTTTCGCCTCTTCTTTTCATCCTCTACACGAACAGCTGTCGATCATCAGAGGAGAACAGACTGCTGCTTAAATTTTCAGATGACACTGTGCTGGTGTCACTGCTTACCGGCTCAGAGACGGGCCATGGTCCTGCACTAGCTCAGTTTGTCTCCTGGTGTGATAACCATTACTTGGATTTAAATGTTGCAAAGACCAAGGACATGGTCATTGACTTCAGACGCGTCACATCCAGCAACACCAGCGTCATCCACGGCGGGAATGTGGAAATCGTGGACAGTTACAGGTATTTGGGAACAACAATAGACAATAAACTGAAGTTTGACATAAACACTGAGTCGATCATTAAACGATCGCAGCAGAGAATGTACCTGTTGAGGAAATTGAACTCTTTTAATGTAAACAGGACAATCCTTAATAATTTTTATTGCTCTTTTATTGAAAGCCTTCTTAGCTTTTCTTTTATCTGTTGGTTCCAAAGCCTGACGCTGAAGGACAGAAACAGGTTACAGAGTATTGTGAGAACTTGCTCCAAAATCACGGGTGGTAAACTCAGAGACCTTCAATCTCTGTGGGAGGAACAGGTGCTGAGTAAAGCAAAATGTATTCTGGCTCAGCCCAAACATCCGCTGATTGCCGACTTTGTATTGATGCCTTCAGGGCGTCGTTTTTATGCTCCAGCACGGAAAACAAACCGTTTCTCCAATTCTTTTGTGCCATCTGCCATAAAACTGTTGAACTCTGGTAGAAGTGCTTGACTTTTGGGAATTGTGTCGTTCATTGTTTGTTTTTTTATTGTTTTTTTTTTTTTTATATTGTGTAACCTGCTGCTGTGTGAACTGTGAGACTCACTGTGTGTTTGTGTAGAGTTTGTTGTGTTCTGCTTGAGTTAGGCTGCAAATGAATTGCCCTTTGGGATCAATAAAGTTTTCTGAATCTGAATCTGAATCTGAAACAATGCAAAAGTTGATTTTTAAGCATGGAGTACAGTAGCTTTCACAACAATGAACGGAGCATCTGATATACAGTGGGGCAAAAAAGTATTTAGTCAGCCACCAATTGTGCAAGTTCTCCCACTTAAAATAATGGCAGAGGTCTGTAATTTTCATCATAGGTACATTTCAACTGTGAGAGACAGAATGTAAAAAAATAATCCAGGAATTCACATTGTAGGATTTTTGAAGAATTTATTCGTAAATTATGGTGGAAAATAAGTTTTTGGTCACTTCAAACAAGGAAGGTCTCTGGCTCTAACAGACCTGTAACTGAATTGTAGACTTGCACCAGACTGGAAAGAGTGAATCTACAACAGGCAAGCAGCTTGGTGTGAACGAATCAACTGTGGGAGCAATTATCAGAAAATGGAAGACATACAAGACCACTGATAATCTCCCTCGATCTGGGGCTCCAAGCAAGATCTCATCCCGTGGGGTCAAAATAATCATGAGAACGGTGATCAAAAATCCCAGAACCACACGGGGCGACCTGGTGAATGACCTGCAGAGAGCTGGGACAAAAGTAACAAAGGTTACCATCAGTAACACACTACGACGACAGGGAATCAAATCCTGCAGTGCCAGACGTGTCCCCCTGCTGAAGCCAGTGCATGTCCAGGCCCGTCTGAAGTTTGCCAGAGAGCACATGGATGATAAAGCAGAGGATTGTGAGAATGTCATGTGGTCAGATGAAACCAAAGTAGAACTGTTTGGTATAAACTCAACTCGTCGTGTTTGGAGGAAGAAGAATACTGAGTTGCATCCCAAGAACACCATACCTACTGTGAAGCATGGGGGTGGAAACGTCATGCTTTGGGGCTGTTTTTCTGCTAAGGGGACAGGACGACTGATCCGTGTTAAGGAAAGAATGAATGGGGCCATGTCTCGTGAGATTTTGAGCCAAAACCTCCTTCCATCAGTGAGAGCTTTGAAGATGAAACGTGGCTGGGTCTTCCAGCATGACAATGATCCCAAACACACCGCCCGGGCAACGAAGGAGTGGCTCCGTAAGAAGCATTTGAAAGTCCTGGAGTGGCCTCGCCAGTCTCCAGACCTCAACCCCATTGAAAATCTGTGGAGGGAGTTGAAAGTCTGCGTTCACTGCTCTCGAGTAGATGTGCATGGAGGAATGGGCCAAAATACCAGCTACTGTGTGTGCAAACCTGGTAAAGACCTATAGTAATTGTTTGACCTCTGTTATTGCCAACAAAGGTTATATTACAAAGTATTGAGTTGAAATACTTATTTTCCACCATTATTTACAAATAAATTCTTTAAAAATCCTACAATGTGAACTCCTGGATTTTTTTCCCCCCATTCTGTCTCTCACAGTTGAAGTGAACCTATGATGAAAATTACAGACCTCTGTCATTATTTTAAGTGGGAGAACTTGTACAATCGGTGGCTGACTAAATACTTTTTTACCCCACTGTAACTTCATTGACTTGTTTTACTCAAGAAGACAATTAAGTTATATCAGATCATTCTGTGAGATTTCATAACACTTTTAAGCAACTTTTGTTAAAGTTAAACTCATCATTCTATCAATGTGCAGAAGCCAGTACCTTTCCCTTGTTTTGTCTATCTGAAGGCCAAGCTACATGGCACCGTGGCAGCTGCTGATTGGAGGTCTCCATGCCTCCGCTCTGTATAATACACTTGCATTCTGTTGTTCGTGTTGTTCGTGCTGTCTCTACCATCGACAATAAAACATGTCTTCTGTCTGAATTAAAGACACGATCCCAGACTATGTCATCTTCTTCAATTCCTGCAACTTCAGTACCTAGGATATTTTACTGTGGGAAGTCTGGTGAATAACCAGATCAGTCAGATCGTGTACCATTTTTCTTTAGCTTTCTGTTCCTTCATCATATTTTTCCAGACAATTAACCCTCTTTGCCTAGTACGGCTCTCGTTTGTGACAACATGATAGTTGTTGGTTGGAGGGTCTAGTAGTAGTAGTAGTAGTAATCTTTATTTATATACCGCCTTTTCACTGCAGATCTGAGTCTCAAAGCGGTTTACAAGTATGAGGCTGCCCTGGATCCAACAGTCTGATAGCAACAATAATAGCTTACCACCTTTGTGTGGAGTGAAAGAATAATGCTGTGTCTTTCAAATGCACTGTATGACTCTTCTCAAAGCCATGGCCAACGGGAGAGAGATGGAAAAATGGCCCCGAGCACTGATAGAACAAACCTGCCGTTAGGGACCATAACTATACTTCCAACCTGGAAGATGTCTCAACGGAATACTTGCGGACACTATCCCTCTAAACTCTGCAGTAAACTATGATCATATCTACAAAGTGGCCAATAAACAGGGGGGGGAACCGCAAGTGTGTGAAAGAATTGAGGCATGTAATGACTGCTTATTCTCCAATCTGATATTCATTGTGATCCATTAGCAGATCAGCAGAGGGTGACAGACACGGGTGTCAGATCTCGTCCTCTTGAGTGATACGATGAGTGCTGGTTGACAGCTGTGACTGTACGTAAATATGTGTTTACTCAGGCCTTATCTGTATAATCCAGCTATCAGTATCACTGATGTCCCCCTCTAGCACTTTGGTAATAACTTTTCCAGGTCTGTCTCCTTCTCTGACCCCTGCCATGGCTGTCACTCCGTTTGGTTACAGTAAACAAAATCGAGTGCCAACGGTGATGTGGACAAGAGAACGGAGGCACACAATATTGCACAGGGAAATGGTTCAATGGCTCACAAATAAGGCTTTCATTTTGAAGGGCACAAACAGCAGACAGCAATATTTTTCACTAAGGGGTCAACAGACGGAAGTATAGTACAGTTTTGCCCCACAATGGGGCCTGGTGAGGCTCAGCCTGCAGAGGGGTACAGACAGGCCTATCAGTTACTTCTGCCTTAAAAGGGACCCAATCTTATTTTGTTGGTATATTGTGGTCTTTTTTGTGTTATATAAAACTCCTTTTGACAGATAGAAACCGCTAAGAGTGAAACTATCAATAATTATCATGCAAAAATAAATTCGTGGAAAAATTGCAGAGACCGGAAGTGACGTACACGTAGCGGTCTTTGGACTTTGTTAATATGCATTTGTAAGTCATAGCGTTGTATACACACGTTTTAAACAGATATTTGTTATTCAGTGATGGACAATACAAGTCAAGGGTTTTTATTTATGAGCCCTTGCGTACTTGTTATTACAGTAATTCTAATTTTGAGGACTCTGACTCAGTTCAGATGAGGAGCAATCTCCAAGAACTCAACATTTACGAACATTTCCGTTTCCACGGGCTGGAGTCATGGATTCGAACAGGTCCGACCCGTCTCGACCTTCAGTTTGAGCTCGATGGTGCCGCCCGAGTGAGTGTAAATAAGTGTTAGCGAAGGTAGCGCTAGGGACGAAGGAATGGATATCACGGACATCGTAGAGCAGAGAAAATTTAAGAAGCATAAAAGTGACTACCGTGAAATGAAAGATCCCAGCCGTAAAAGTGACAGAACTGAAAAAGTCTGGAAGTGGTTTGACAGCATGGATTATTTTTACAGCTAACATGCTAACACCAGCTAACACGTCAATACCCACAACACCGAGAGAGACGCCTCAACTCTATGTCCCAGCTCC